ACAACGATGCAGCGAGAACTGATTTCTCTACGCCAGTTACAAAATTCTGGATCAAGTGTTTGCAGTCATATCCTGTTCTGTCTGAGACTCTGTTGCACCTTCTTCTTCCATTTCCAACAACATATCCTTGTGAAACAGGGTTTTCCAGCTTGTTGGTTATCAAGTCTAAATACAGAAGTAGACTTGTTGTGGAAGATGACCTTCAGTGTGCTCTTGCAAAGACTGCCTCGAGAATTTCTGATCTGGTGAAAGAAGCAGCCTCAACCTTTGCACTGACGTTGGCTTTTTATGCATACTGTTGCAAAATGTAGCAATGTCGTTTATTGTTGTTATAGTAAGACTGTTACCCATGCTACACCATGCTTCAAGACAAAATTTCATTTATTTGTAAGTAGAAATAAATATTTCACAATATAATTACATATTGTTTTTGTGATTAATCACTATGCTTTAATTCTGTTCAATTTGTAACAATGAAAATACATCCTGTATATCAGATATTTACATTACAATTCATAATAGTAGCAAAATTACAGTTATGAAGTAGCAATGAAAATAATTTTATGGTTGGGGGTCACCACAACATGAGGAACTGCATTAAAGGGTTGCAGCATTAGGAAGGTTGAGAACCACTGCTTTAGGGAGAAGTAAAGCTCTAAGTTGTCAGTCATTTATGCCTCAGTGGGAATGAGTTTCAAATCCTTCCTTAGGAACACATTTTAAATATATAGGAGAAAAACACTGGAAACTTGAGGTAGGGATAAAAAGGCAGGAAGGGACCTCATAATGGAAAGTCAGCCCCCTGTAAGTTTCACAGCCCTACCTAGTTTGAGGCATGTGCTTTTCAGATTCTTATATGCTATTTCTTTTTTTTTATTAATTTATTTTTGTTACAGATGTTTCTCCTTTTTTCCCCATTGACACCCTCCTCCCTATTCCCCCACCCCGTCCCGGCTTAGTTGTCCATGTCCATTGGTTATGCATACATGCATATAAGTTCTGTGGTTTATCTCTTCCCTCCCCCCCCCACCCCCTCTTCTGAGAATTGTTAGTCTGTACCCTACTTCCACGTCTTTGGGTCTACCCTGTTCCTCAGACTGGAGTAATATGCTATTTCTGCATATATGTACTAGTTTATATGTAGACCCATTTCTAGGTCTGTTACCCCAGTTATTTGGGGCTGGGCTGTGGGTGTATGTGGTCTGACACCACTTAAAATGTTTACTGACCCCAACCCAGTGTAGTGATCAGAAGGCAGCCAGCCTGAGCTACAGTTGTGAACCTGTATTTTCTGGCCTTAGACACAAGTGCCAGCTCATTCTCTTGAGAATTAGACCCTGATGTGCATATGTAAAATCCTGAGCAGATGAAAGGCAGGAAAGCTTGTTGGAAAGAATTGGAGGTATCCCTTCTGCTCTCTGTGGGTCTGTTTGCCAAAATAAATGACATGTATCAGTGTAGGGCATTGGTCCAAGCCCATTGAAATTCTGCTAGCAGTCCAAACTGTGATGGTGTTTCAGATTGTTTCTGTGAAATGATCAGAGTTAGGAAGAGAGAAATTATGTGTGAGCATCTGTCTGCTGCAGCCTACTGATGGGGACAGTCCCAGAGGCAGGCCCTAGGTTGAGGGGGCCAGCCTCAAGGACCCCCTAGGACATCTGCCACTGACAAACAGAAAAAGAGCCACACGCTGGCAGAGGCGGTGTGGTTAGAGCCCCACACTGTTCCTCAGTAGCTACATGACCAAAACAAGTAATTTCTCTTTTCTTGGCTTCTTTTTCCCCCCACTTATAAAATAGAGGTTGGATAGGATTGTCTCTAAGGGCCCTTCCTGATGGAATATTCTGTGACTTTTGTGACACTGGTTTGATTTCTTTTTCTGTGTAGTGAGGCCCACCCACCACCTCATTATCTGTAGCCACTATGTTCTCACACTGACCTCTACTGGCTCTTATGAAAAGTGACACCAATCGCTTCTTCGTAGGAAAACCCCAAAAAAGCAGTTCATCACTGATTTAGTATTAAGCTTCAGCTAGATACTACGACAGAAACCCTGTGCATTGGAGACAAGGGAAAATGGTCATATATCTATAAGCACAGAATATTCATATCTAGAGATGGCTGACAGAGCAACCCACCAAAAAAATGCCTCTTCTTTTTTTTTTTTTTTTTGCCATCTTTAATTGTTTGCAGTGCTCTATACCACTGAATGAAAGGACCTCAGTGGATGGGAAGGCTCCTTGTCTCATATCTTATGACTGAAGCTCCAGAAGGGCCTGAAACCACGCTGAGGAGGCAGTTCTGAGCAGTGCCCCAGAGGCCTCAAGACATCCCAGAGGCCCTGCTTCTGGCCCTTTGGTTAGTCTTAGAGATTTTTAGCTGGGACAGGGCAGAAGTACACATTCTTTTGAGGGATGCCATTTAAATGCCTTTTGGAAAAAGAATTAGAATTCTAAGTATCCATGAGTTATTTAAGAGACTCACTTTAAGCTATCTGACTGTAACTAAGGAGTCAGCTTTGCAACTGTGGCAGATTCAGCATGCCCACCCAGCCAAGAGAAAGGGAATGGGCCATGGAACCCTGCCTTTTCTAGATGGAATCAGATTTCCTGTTAAGTCCAGCCCTGGAACTGCCTCACTCCTATGTCCCCTTGCTTACTCTTGCTGAACATGTGCTCACAAAGGCAAGAGACCAGAGGTGGAGTGTGCCAGCCCATGTGCCCATGCCAGGCACTGCTCAGGCTCTAGTTATATGAGCAAGACGGGAATTGGGCCACACCACAATCTGCTCTCTCAGTAGCTGTTTAATGGTTTATCATGGTCTCTACCTCTCCTGCTTGATGCAGGAAAGCTTTGAGCAGGGCTCTGACTTGGGTCAAACATTCTGTGCCCTGACTGCATCCTCTGTCCTAATAATAACATGGCTTTGGTAAGCCTGTCTTTGTCACACACCCCCGTCCTCCCACCAAATAGTCCCCTCTTCCCCCAACAAATGGTTTTTATCTGTCTCCCTTGTTCCAGCCTCAGGCGGGTTGCCCTGGCCTCATGTTGATACACACTTGTTCTCCTGAATGTTTGCTAATCAGTTTCAGCCCTGAAACACACTGCCTTCCTCTCATCCTTCCCTGTTCCCAATCTTCTAAGCATTCTCTACTTTCTACCACATATATTCATCAAATTTCCTAACTTGATTTCCAGGACCACTTTAGTTGGGGTCCACTCAGCCTTTCCAGTGTGGCTCATGACTCCCCCTACCCACTAAGTCATGGACAGAATGTAAGCGTTCTAAAAACTCCAATGCCAACCCTTCCTTTGTTTTATACTATTTATGCTCTGTTTCATATTTGTACTGTTTGCTGTAGTTTTGAGTACATTAGTCTTGACAGCTAGGCCCATAATTTAGACTTCTTCATTAATTCTCAACAGCACCCCCACACTACTTTTTTAATGTATTGTTCTTTTTCTTTTTAGTTTCATATAGATCGATAGATATGTGTGTGTGTAAAAATTCACAAGAGTCATTAACAGAATCATTGTAAATAAAATTTCAATAGCGGAATGTAAGAGCATAAAAAGTGAAAGCTCAACTCCCACCTCATCATTCCCAGAAATAAACCCATTAAACAGTCTGTAGCCTAGCATCCTTTGTAGGCTGCATGCAAGTTGGGTGTTAGGGAATTGCATCTCCTTGGGAAGAACATTTTTTACTTTTTTACAAGAGTCTTAGGTCTTCATGGGCCTAATTCATACTGGAAATTGTACTCCAAAAGCCCTATACAGCTGGTGGTCATTTGCGTCTTCAGTACATGACTAGCTACCACACAAAGCATCTATCCTGTTTTCAGCCTTTTGAGAAAGTAAAACTTGAAGGTGAATATTAAAGGGCATGTTTAATGGGTTTTTCTAAAAGCTTTTCACAGACCTGTAGGAAATTGCAGGTAGCCAGTAAAGGGGCAGAAAGGTGGAGATGGGAAACATTTATGAAAATAGGCTTTCTAACTGATATGGTGTTGTGTTCTCTGAAAGGTAATGAACATTACTAATGGTTTTCATTTTTCTGCCAAGAAAATTCAGTCCCTGCTGGCATTTGTTCTAAATGATAGACTAGCCCACCTGTGTGGCACCCACTGGAGTTAATTAACTGTCTCAGTTAGCTTTAAAATGTCAGCCTGAGCTCTCAGACTTCACTGCTACAGACAGATACTTTATAACCAGGGAATTCAAAATCTTCATTGCTACAGATACTTTATAACCAGGCTGCTTCTTCTTGCTATCATAATTGATACTTAATGTATATTCTCGGGCTCCTTGGATTGTACACCTTCTAAACTGTGCAGTTGGTGGGAGGAAACGAAAGGAGAGAGAGACAGGGAAGGAGCAAATAAACTATTCGTGTGCACGTGTGAGCGTGTGTGTGTGTGTGTGTGTGTGTGTGTGTGTGTATACTCTCTGTGAGCATCTGTTTCCAGTTTCAGTGATGGAGTCCTAAGGTCAATCAAAAAAGTCAGTTCTGACATATTGGTCAGCCCATGGGCTTCTGGGTTCTTCTCTCTCTGGAAAGTGTTCTTTAGGCACAGCCATTTATGGACTTCACAGCAAGCATGTGGTTGGCCATTTGGACATGAGTTATAAAATGTCATGATGTTCTCCAGCATTCTTTTCTTTTACTATTTTGACAATCTGATGGATCACCTGGCATTAACTATGAGGAGGACAATATTATCCAGCCTAAATAACTAATCTCATAAGAAGTACAAAGTTGAAGCATCTTGGTGCACATGAATCTTATTAAATGTGCTTATAAAACACGTTCTATTCAAATAACTTTAGAAGCCCCTAAAATAGCCTTTTCAGATCAGTGTCTGGAACTTTGGCATGCTTCCCAGATCTCTAAGTCAAAGTTATTTAATGAAGTGATGACAGCGTTCTTTGTGCATGGGAAAATGGGAACTGTTGATGTTAAGTCCTCTGTTAACTAATTCTACTTCTATCCATCTTAGGGGCGACCAGGACTAATTGGAATTCAAGGTCCAACAGGTCCTCCAGGATTTGCTGGCCCTAGTGGTTTATCAGGGTTCAAAGGAGAACGTGGCTCCCCAGGCCTTCTGGGAACATACGGACCAAAAGGAGATAAGGTAAGAGCACCAAAGCTTGATTTTCCTTTGACTCATGGGTCACAAGTATGAAGGTGAAAGGTTCTAAATCTCGGTTCTATTGTGGAAATAGCACTACTCCTGAATACTGTGGTGTTGGGCTACATATTTTAATAAGAGACAGGCTGGGTGGTGTGCTATTAATGCATCAGCCCATTTCTGGAGAGACTCCCATTGCAAGCAAACCATAAAGTGCATTATTAGCTACTTGCTAGACAAGTAGACTCACTGTGGTGTGAAGTCATGTAGTTTTGAGTCAGAAGTCTAATCATCTGGTCAGCAGAGTCAAGGTAACTGGGAAGCAAGAGCTAAGAATACTTGGAAGCAATCTGAGCCACAAGTATAAGAGAAAAGATACAAGAAAAGAGGTTGGTCATGTCATGGTGGCTGACTGACTTGAGTTTAGCACTCAGTTTATGTCCCCTGCTGATTTTAGTCACCACCTCTTCACCCCACTAGTGAGGAAGGGATTCCCACCCAAGGGTAATGAGGATGGCCAGAGATATGACACCTGACATTGAATAGAAGAGATGGACAACACGTTAATTAGTCACATATACTCCCAGCACAGACGGAGAACTAGACTACACACTATGCAGGGCCACATATGGGTTGCCCTCAAAATCAGAATAAACCAGAAGTGGCTATGGGAGGCAGATTTTGTAGAGTCAGGGAGGTGAGGTGCCTCTTGATTCCTGAAAGAGAATGTAATTGGCTTGTTTGAATAATTCAGTGGACCAGCAGAGAACTAAAAACCCAGTACTCATGGATAAGCAGGAACTTCATCTGGTCTGTTTGGTTAGGTGGGCCATTTGCCTAGGAGATCTTATCTACAGGAGTAGAGTGAAGAGGCAGACTTGTGGTTAGGTCATTTGAGGCCCTCCTGGTTTGCCCAGATATCAAGGCACCATATAATATTGAACATTAAGTTTAGAACTTACACCACATTGCCTAAGACAAGAACTGGTCTCATAATGTAAACGTATCCAAGACCTTACGCAGTAGCAAGTGATTACTTCAAACTGGAGCAGGGAGCAAGGTGATCCAATGTGGAAGAGGAGGTACAAAATGATTCTTAACAACTTAGGTCATAAATCACATGAACAAACTCACTGGATCACATGGAGATCAACTGGATTATATCAAATTCCTCTCCCTCCTTTGTTTTAGGGTCCCAAGGGAGTTCCTGGCTTTCTTGGCATCAATGGGATTCCGGTGAGTGTGTCCGCAGAGACATTTTAAAATAACACCTCTAGGTTCTGCCTCATAGCTCAAGAACTTTGGCCTTAGCAACATCTTGTCTTTTTATTTTTTTCTTTATTATTTTGGAGAGAGAGAGGAAGAAAGAGATAGAGAGAGATAGAAACACTGATGAGAGAGAACATCAGTTGACCACCTCCTGTATGCCCCCCACTGGGGATTTGGCCCACAACCCGGGCATGTGCCCTGACCAGGAATCGAACCAGTGACCTCTTGGTGCATGGGTCGATGCTCAACCACTGAGCCACACCAGCCAGGCAGCAACATCTTGTCTCATGCAAACATGCTCAGGATCAAGTGTTGAGATGTGCATGTTAAGGTTTGAAGGGAAGTGGTTGCACAGTTTCCTTAGGATTCACTTACAGGCAGCACCAAATCAGATGGTTGGAGATGCAGAGACATGTGCAAGCATAAGAAACCACCAATATCTTAGTCAAAATGAGATAGGTCTTGTGGGTTGAGGGGAGATTTAATTGGGGATGAGAGACTGGCTCTAAAATGTGGAGTCAGTGCCACATTAGAGAACATACATACTCATTACAAGAAATTTAAGAAAGTACATGAAATTAGGTAGAAAAATATCTTGATACATTTCATTCGAGTAATTTATTCTCTTCAGGTTCATCTCATTTCAGAGTGAATTTCCCATTGGTTTTTATAAAATGACTACTTCAAAGATGACTTGGAGGCAGCCTCTTTCATTCATCCTGAGCACCTGGCTTTGCTGGATATAAGTGGGGAGTTTGGAGCTTGCAGACATTTTCTTCTCCCATTCCATCCAACCTATTCTCTTAGTTTCTCCATTTTCACCTCATATCCCTACTTATCTCACCACTGGAGATCATATGATAACATTTGCCAACCATTAAAATATAATATTTGGAACTTTCTGCTATCACATTTTAGTTATGTCCTTTGGCATGTCTCCATGTATTTAAACATTAGCCTTGGCTATTTGTCTATAGCAATGGTTTTCAACCTTATTTAAGAAAAGAACCAAGTCTTGTGTGGAAGCTCTAAACATAACAGCTTCTTGCGTGATACTACATAATCATCTAGTATCAGGGAAGGGGATTCAAATTTCTGTGCCGATCTATAGCTATTTCTTGAACACCTGCTATATGTGCTAGCAATCTACTATGGGGATACAGAAAAAATATATATATGGATCTGCCCTCAAAGATGTAATAATTAGATCTGCTTTCTCTCCAGATCTAGTGTACCTTTGTGGATTTGGAGACTAGAAGGCTCATTTAACTTGTATTTGTTACATGTATCAACAAATCAGCCATCAGATTTTTACATTTTATTTAAGTGCAGGCTCTGCAAAATGCCCAGAAATGGGCCAGTGTTGGGGTCAGCCATTATTTTGTAATGCTTCCTGGAATTGTCTTGTGGCTGTGTTCCGATGGCTACTTTATGCAGTCTCCACTCAGAATGTATATCTTTTAGGAGCCAGTGGGTAAGGGAAACTAGCAAAATGGAGGCTACCTCTTCCATTTATCCTCTGGAGCTGGCTTCACCAGAGATGAGTGTGGGGATTTAGAGCTTTCAGTGCTAATATCTTCTTCCTTCTGTAGTCTCTTTTTAATGGGGGCTGGAAGGAAGTAAATTCTGTGATGCAGAGGCTGATTCCACTTCTGAGCTGGAACTCACCCCAGAGTCCAGCTGGACGCTTCTGCCTCCAACTCATAACTTAGAGAGCACTGGAGCTTGCAGGAATTTATCACTTCTGTTTGGAGCTCATTGCTTGGGAGAAAGTTGTAGGTATCCATATTCCTCCAAATAAGTGTGCTGCTCCTGGTGGAAGCCCCCACTCCCTCGGACTTTCACTGGTCCTTCCCTTGACCACAGGCTGTATATCTTTACTTTTGACTTTCAATTGCTTTAACAAGAGGCTCCAAGCATCACTTACTCCATGAAATTATTCTCCTTTGTTCCTCCTCTCTCTTCCAGCTATTAACAATACATTTATTGAGCACCTTCTGTTTACTGCTTACTTCTTCCTTTTATCTGTAATTTTCCAGAAGTCCTTGATATTTTTCCCACATCCCCTAGCTCCTTATTACATGTGGCTTATGGTATTTATTGATTGTTTTGTGTGATAGTCTTATCTAGCTCCTTGAAAACACAAAGCATGTCTTTTGCTCTTCTCTGAGGCTTCAGAGACCCCTGGGTGGAATTCAGCATATACTAGGAATTCTAGAAATATTTTAGGGACTGACTCCAACCTCCAGAACCTATATAAGCAATAGTTGTCAGATTGATGAGACTTCCTCGGACAGAAGAATACAACAGACACCCTTTGCATAATCAGACTATTTTTCTCAACTTTCTGTGGCACTTACTAAGCAATTTGACTGAAGTCAACAGCTTCCCCAACACATCTTACTAAATTGAATCACTACACAGATCTGATATCCCTCCTAATATTGGCTGATCGCTAACGTATGTGCTACTGATTTTGTTCCCAAAACTCCAGTTTTGCTATCATGTAGACAATTTCGACAGGAATGAGTAAGTAGTGGTTTTATGATCATCCAATTATGTGCACTAAGGGACACAGCAACTAGCGGAAGGAGTGAACAAACAAGCATTCATCAAGATATTCAACATTAAAACAACATAGACTAGTGGTAGTGGGGCTGTGGCTTTTACTGATAACACAGCTGTGATTTGGGGTTGTTGGCATCCACAAGAAGTGTATGTTTATCAAATGTTTTTAGTTCAGATACCTTTACAGAAGAAGTTTTCAAGGTACCCTTTGCAATTTATGTTTAGCTTTTCTCATGGAGTCAACCTTAAACATTTTTATGCCTAGAGATGTGTAAATGAACATACCACTCACCAAATAGCAACTATTCCTTTCAAATATGGCTTATGAGGAACACTGCTTTTCTAGAATACAGCAGGTCCTCCTATTATATATGTTCAGACAGTTATGGTTATATAGAACCATAGTTTTATCCCTTAAAAAGCTACATCTTCTTGAAGATCTGGCACACACATATGAAAAATCATTAGCAATAACCAGGAAGGGCTATGTGCCAGAAATACTATGGTACTGAGAGCTGAGAGGAGACAGAACTCAGCCTGGTGGCTCATCCTTGCTGGGATTAGAGCACAAGTCGGACTGGCTTAAACATGCTTTATCCACTATCCCATGGTGTCAGCTGGCTAGGAGAGGGCTGACAGGACTTTCAGAGGTCAGAGATTAATCCCAGAGAATTTAGCTAAGGTAGGAATGAACGAACAGATGTCCCTGGAATCCTGCACAAAGGAGGTATCAGGAATTCAGGCAAGAAAACTACAGAAGGACTGTGGCCCAAGAAAAAACTGAGGATACTAACGGGTAAGAATCCAAGCAAACGATCTAGTGTCAAACAGAACCAAGGCCCCAGGACTAAGAAAGATTCCTAATACTGAGTCAGCCTGTTGTCTTGCCTTAACTCATCCCTGTTACTCAACTGACTGATTAGCTTAGCTGGGACATTTTAAAGCAGTGATCAGGACCTGAGGAAGAAATATGTACTACACTTGAAAAGGTTAACAGAAGTGTTGAGTGAAGGGTATATTTAAAGGATGTAGTCAGGATTAATAGAAACAATAATGGATTGTGAAGCAACTAACAAAGCTGTTACCACCCCTGTGCCCAAAAGGGAAAGAATAAATGGTAATACTAAAATCCTATAAGACCTGGAGCCGTGGAATAATGGTTGCCCAACAGTAGCTAAAACTAGAGAGAAATGTAGCCATTGCCAGAGATATAGCCAAGGAAGGAGGGCATAAGGGAAACAAATAGCCTATGCTCTTTCTCCTCCTGCTCTTTGATCTCCTGCCTGTATATACTTGTGTCCGAATACAACTAGGAGTCAAAGAAAAAAGGAATTTACACAGTGCTTTCCATAAAGGTCAGCTTTCCAAAGCACTGATCAGGGAAGATACAGTATAGATCTTCAAGGCAAACAAGAAGAGCCATCTCATTTGGTAATAAAATGTTGATGACTGTAATAAACTATCTCATTTTCCCCAGTAAAAAATCATCACCTGGCCCTGGCCAGTTTGGCTCAGCGGTTATAGCGTCTGCCTGCGGTCCGGAGACACCCGGGTTCGGTTCCCGCTAAGGGCATGTACCTCGGTTGCAGTTTGTCCCCAGCCCTGGTTGGTCGTGTGGGTGGCAGCCACTCGATGTGTCCCTTTCACATCGATGTTTCCCTCTCTCTCTCTTCCTCTCTCTCCCTCCCACTCTGTCTGTACAAAAAATGGAAAAATGTCCTCGGATGAGGTTTAAAAAAAAAAATCATCACCTGAGTCTGCAAATGTGGCAAAAGTAAAAATCGTCACCTGAGTCTGGAAGGCACAGATTGAGCAAGTTTATTGAAAGGATGTTTACTGACCACTCCTCTAGATTTAGCATTCTGAGTCTAGCAGTGTAGACTCATACTTTTATATTAACACACTATCTCCTACAACTTAATGACAATGAAAATAAAACAATTCTATGGAGCGTTTTCTCTATAAGATTTTGATAAAAGTTTGTTCCCTATAATAATTCGAAAAGTTGACTTTTGAACACATGACATATTTCCCTCAAATCATTAAATATATATATATATGTGGGAGTCTACCTTTTATTGACCCATCTAGTTTTCTGGTCTTTCATGCCATCTCTTTGCTGCATACCCAACACCCCAAACTGCTTTTGATAGGTAGAGAAAGAGATATTGTCTACAGAAAAAGTAGACTCTATGCACCAAGAAAGCTCAACTCTAGAAAATTGCTGAATTAATACCAACTCTATGTAAACGATTACTAATACCCCAGTAAAACAACTGCCTCAGTAGTGAGTATGGAGAAGAGGGGAAGATACAATTCCCTAGCTGAAGCAATAGCATAACATGTGATAATGACGAAAAAGGATTGAAAGTGTAGCTTTTCCAGGACATGCTTATTTTTGACCAAACTGCTTTCAGGAGAGGTGCAGCTGTGGAAACTCCTTCTGTTCTGTTGACCAAAACTCAGCATCATTTCTCATACAGAACTTTCAATACAGAAAGCCCTACCAGTTTTCCCAGGTTCCAATCTGTTCTGAGAAATCTTAAGGCCTGCCATGATTCCATATTGGTAGCAGTTCCACTGCGAGACAGCTAAGCCCCAACTTAGTATATTTTTGTATCCAGAGAAGGTGAAGTTGCAATGCCTTGTGTGTCTCATTTCTTCATGCTTGATCCCTTTGGTTTCAGTTTGGATCCTATTAAAACATTGGTCCTGCCCTGCCCGGTTTGGCTCAGTGGTTAGAGCGTTGGCCTGCGGTCCGGAGAGACCCGGGTTCGGTTCCTGCTAAGAGCATGTACCTCGGTTGCAGTTTGTCCCTTACCCTGGTTGGGTTATGCGGGTGGCAGCCACTTGATGTGTCCCTTTCACGTCGATGTTTTTCTCTCTCTCTCCCTCTCTTTCCCTCCCACTCTATCTGAACAAAAAATGGAAAAATATCCTCCAATGAGGATAAAAAAAAAAAACATTGGTCCTTTTGGGAGGGTTAACATTGAACTGTCATCAACAACATACACCTGAATATAAAGGAAAACTATGACACCGTTGGTGATAGCGCTAAGTGAATGAACAAAGATCCAGAGTTTGGCAGCATGCTTGACTTCTCTCACTGTGGGGTTTATCAGAAAGTAACTGAGAGTCCTATGCCTGACTTGATCCTTTATTTTCTCTTTAAACAGGGCCACCCTGGACAGCCAGGGCCCAGAGGCCCACCTGGCATGGATGGCTGTAATGGAACTCAAGGAGCTATTGGATTTCCAGGCCCTGATGGCTATCCCGGGTTTCTTGGACCACCTGTATGCTTCCAGATCTTAAACATTATTTCAAATGGCTTTGATTCCCTCCAAGTGTGTCCTTGTTCTCCTCTCTGGAGAACTCATTAAGCATTCATGGGCAACCACTATAGTCCCTTGTCTAATTCAGGAGTCTGTGCTGGCAGCACCACAACATTAAAAGTCTAAAGAATAATAGCAGTTGCAGAAGGGTGTACACATGTTGCACTACTTAGGGTTATTTTTAAATATCTTAAGAGTTCGCAACATTGTGAAAAGACTAGTAAATTTAAGAGGAAAGTACACATGTAGGCTATTTGATATGTTCACACATAAGATAATATTTGGAAGGCTTATATGGGATCACAGAAGCACTAATAATGGCCCAAAGGGCTTGGCAAGCTTGGTGTATATCAGCGATTCTTAACCAGGGGTGATCTTGGTCCCCTTAGGACACATTTGACAGTTATTATTGACATTTTTGGTTATCACAAACTGAAGGTGTGCTACTGGCACAGGACAACCTCCCTCTCAAACATCAAGGAATAATCTGTTCCAAAGTATCAACAGTGAGAAATAGTTGAGAAATCCTACACTATACTGACATAGTTTGTTCCCTACCCCCTTCTCACTGCATATCATAACCTTTGGTTCTGGGATTGAAAAAGCGTTTGTTGGATCCTGGTGTCACCACTTTTATTTAATTCCATTTATCCATACAGGGACCAAATATTAGAATCTAAGGGATTTCTAATAATATACCATGCCCTTGTAAGGCTGCTTTTTTCTCTGGAAAGAGAAAATAACACATTTCAAGGCCATTCTCAACTGCACTTAAAATAATCTAAGCTAATAAGGATACTAATGTGATGCATTAAGTTATAAATCATACTATTAGATAGATCCAAGGCTGAATTAATTGACTGGCATTTTACTGAAAGATCAGAATCATCATCTTCAGTCACCAAGTTATGGGTGTGGGTATGTATCTCAGAGAGTGAGACATACAGAAAGATCCAAGATGGCAGAGAAGTAGGTGGAAGCTACACTCACGCCCTGCCAGAACCAAATAGAAATTACTAAACTAAAGTATAGAAAAATCATCCTGAGTAACCAACTGAAGACTAGCTGGAGAGAAACCTTATAACCAAGGACTTACAGAGGAAACCACATCAAGACTGGTAGGAGTTGCAGAGGGGCAAGGCAGCTGGCCAGGTACTCAGGGACAACAGCTGAAATTCCAGAAGGATATATGAGCTGAGGTGGTGCCCCTCTGAGAACAGTGAAGTCTGGCTCCCCGGCCCACAGCACCAGAACTAGGAAAGGTGCCCATATAACATCTGGCTGTGAAAAGCAGTGGGGTTTCTCTCTGCCAGAGAGAGATGGCTGGGAATGCAGGTACCCTTTTAATTTTTTATTATTATTTTTTAAATTTTTTGTTTATTAACTTGTTTTTGTTACAGATATTTCTCATTTTTCCCCCATTGACACCCTCCTCCCCTCCCCCCCCGACCCCATCCCCAGCTTTGTTGTCTATGTTCATTGGTCATGCACATATACATGTAAATTTTGTGGTTTATCTCTTCCCCCACAAAACCCCCTCCTCTGAGGCTTATCAGTCTGTACCCTACCTCCATGTCTCTGGGTTAATTTTTTTCAGCAGTTTGTTTAGTTCATTATATTCCACAAATAAGTGAGATTATGTGATACTTGTCTTTCTCTGCTTGGCTTGTTTCGCTTAGCATAATACTCTCCAGGTCCTTCCATGCCATCTCAAAGGATAAGAGATCTTTCTTTCTTGCAGCTGCATAGTATTCCATTGAGTACATGTACCATAGCTTTTTAAGCCACTCATCTACTGATGGGCAGTCACCCTTTTAAATGACCAACATACAAAATTTCATTCACAGCCACTCACCCTGGGCTCTGGTGGAGGGTGGGCAGAATAGACTAGAGCTGTGGGAAGAAAGCTTGGAGTTCGTGGCTCTGGGGAGAGAGCTGAGACGCCAGATGTCAGGATCCCTGTACTGAGTCATTCCCCCATACTGCAGAAGCTATCTTTCTTGGGCAGAACATTCCCCTCCATGCAACATCAGTATGGGGGAAATTAATAGCCCCCTTCATTGGAATGCCTCTCGCTTCACTCTCTGGAGCATATGCCCTGCTGAAAAGTGAAGGTAGTGGCTCTTAAAATGACTAAGCCAGACAGCCTATAGGCAGAGGCAGTTCTCTGGGTGCTTTGTGACTTCTTCTGACCTTCCTCTGGGCCCAGTGCTAATAAGAGCAGACCTTGGTGCACACAGCTTGGTCCTTTCCACATGCACCTAGGCCCTGCAGAGGAGCCACAAGCTGTGGATCGTTGATAGCTATAAACAGATTACCTAAGGCCAGTCACAAACAGTGTCTGATAATGGCCTACATCAGAGTTCCATTGAAGAGGCCCAGAACCAATACACCCAGTTGCCAGCTTCAGACAATAACAGAGCAAGGTACAGTAGGTTTCACAAGCAGCATACTGACAGAGAGATCGTGGCAGGCACCAAACCATGCTGAGGTGAATTCCTCTTCATGTGATCAGTATCTGCACAGAAGCATGCCTGCTATGTAGGGGATTTAGCCTCATTGTCAGAAAGCCTGAGGGTCAATCCCATAAATCAATGGGCCAATAGCAGTCAATACTTGAATATAGCAGTAGGCCCACATAAAACACACAAGAGACATTCTTAGAGAACCCAGATCATACCTGATCACACACAGTCTCAGGGAGACTGTGCCACTGGGTCCCACAGGTCACCAACATAAAGCCACCCCACCAAGACTGGGAGTCATAGCAGATCTACCTAATATATAGAAAAAAAAAAAACAAAAAAACACAAAGAGGCAGCCAAAAGGGAGAGTCAACGAAACAGGTCCCAAATGGAAGAATAAGATAATTTTCCAGAAGAAGAGCTAGATGAAATGGAAGTAAGCAGACATAAAGAGCAGAGTAATGATTATAAGGATACCCAACAACATTAAAAAAGACATAGAGCTCAGCTGGCATGGTTCAGTGGTGGAACATTGACCCATGCACCAAGAAGTCACCAGTTCAATTCGCGGTCAGGGTACATACCCAGGTTGTGTGCCCAATCCCCAGTGAGAGGCATGTAGGAGGTAGCCAATCGATGTTCTCTCTCATCACTGTTTCTATTTCTTTTGCCCTCCCTTCCTCTCTCTCTAAAATTAATAAAGAAAAAAAAAATTGAAAAGAACATAGAAACTATAAAAAAGAGCAGTCAGAAATAAATAATGCTGCATCTGAAATAAATAATACACTGGAAGGAATAAATAGTAGGCTAATGAAGCAGAGGATCACATCAGCAATTTTGAAGACAAGGTAGAAATAAACAACCAATCGAGAAACAAAAAGAAAAAAAACAATTTAGTGAGGATAATTAAAGGACCTTCGGGACAACATGAAGCATAACAACATCCAAGTCATAAGGGTACAAGAAGGAGAAGAGAGAGAGCAAGGGACTGAGAACCTATTTAAAGAAATAATGACTGAAAACTTTCCTAACCCAATAAAGAGAGAAAAAAAAACAAACCCAGGAAGTGCAGAGAGTCTGAAACAAGATGGACCCAAAGAGGCCACACCAAGACACATCATAATTAAAATGGCAAAAGTTAAAGAAAAGAGAGACTCTTACCAACATAGGGGCTTCCATAAGACTGTCAGCTGATTTCTCAACAGAAACATTTCAAGCCAGGAGGGATTGGCATGGAATATTCAAAGTGGTAAAAAGCAAAGACCTGCACCCAAGACTAATTTACCTAACAAGGCTATCATTTCAAATTGAAGAAGAAATAAAGAGCTTCCCATAGCAAAAAAAGGAAGAAGAAACTTAAGAAATTTTCTTACCACCAAGCCAGTATTGCAAAAATGTTAAAGGGTTTATTTTAAGAGGAAGGAGAAGAAGAAACATAATTTTAAAAATACATAAGAACATAGTTAAAAGTAATTTGGCAATAAATACATACCTATCAACAATCACTTTAAATGTAAATGGCTTACATGTGCCAATAAATTTGATTTTAAAAAGCTATAGGGTAGCTGAATGGATAAGAAAACAAGAGCCATGTATATGCAGTCTTCAAGAGACCCACCTCAGAATGAAAGATACAGAGTAAAATAAAGGGATGGATGTTGACATTTCATGCAAATGGAAAGAAAAAATAAAGATGGGGTAGCAATAATTATACCTGAAAAAATAGATTTTAAACAAAAACCATGGTAAGAGACAAATAAGGATACTACATAATGATAAAGGAAGCAAACCAACAAGAAAATATACCTTACTAAACATTTATGCACCCAAAATAGGAGCACCTAAATATGTAAAGTAAGTCTTGATGGACATGAAGAAAGAGATTGACAGCAATACAGCTATAGTAGAGGATTTAACACCCCATTGACATTAACTGATAGAACTTTCAGACAGAAATAAACAAGGAGAAGGCAGCCTTAAATGACACACTAAATCACAGGAATTTAATATCTTCAGAGCATTTCACCCCAAAGCAGCAGAATATACATTCTTTTCAAGTACCCATTGGAACATTTTCTACAATAGACCACATGTTAGAACACAAAACAAGTCTATATAAATTTAAGAAGATTGAAATTATATCAAACATCTTCTTACCATAATACTATGAAACTTAAATCAATCACAAGAAGAAAACTGAAAAACATGCAAAGTTATTGAGGCTAAGTGACATATTAGTAAACAATAAATGGGATAACAGAGAGATAAGGAAAAAATCAAAAGTACCTTGAAATAAATGAAAATGAGAACAAAACAACTCAAAAATCTGTGGGACACAGGGAAAGCAGTCCTGAGAGGTAAATTCATAGCTTTACCAGCTTATCTCAAGAAACAAGATAAAGCTCAAATAAAAAATCGAATTTTACACTTAAAGGAACTTGAAAAAGAACAACAAAGCCCAGAATGAGTAGAAGGATGGAAATAAAAAGATCAGCA